ACACACACACACACACACACACACACACACACACACACACACACACATATATATACACTTGAACTAAATCCCAGAAAGGAAAACACCAATTATTATAATTCTTATCTGATAAAAAGGAACATTTTTCAGGAGAGAATTCTTTTCTGGTTCTCAACCCAAGAAAAAGTTGTATAAATCTTAACATAAAGAACCCAGGTGATGATGAGCTGTGTCTTCAACAGGAGTTTGGCAGAAGATATAAAAACATTGTTCACGTTGCTCTTTCTTGTATTGACCCCTGGAAATTGAGAGTGTAACATTAAATATAACCCAGTAAAAACATTTTAGTGGGAAACTAAACCAGTATGGTGCTTTCTGGTGATCTAACTATTCAAGGTTAGAGCTGAAAAAACATAGAAGAATGTACATTTAGTATTAAATTTTTTTTTTCCAAAAGTTTTGTTGACTGCCCTTTGATAGGATTTAATGGCAGTCTTTCATATTGAATTCTTTGACTATAACTAGAAATGGAGATACACTGTATTGGCTGACTATCTATCTATCTATTTATTTATTTATTTCTGCATTGGGTCTTCGTTGCTGCGCGCAGGCTTTCTTTAGTTGCGGCACATGGGGGCTGTTTTTGGTTGCGGTCCACGGGCTTCTCATTGCGGTGGCTTCTCTTGTTGCAGAGCACAGACTCTAGGCGCATGGGCTTCAGTAGTTGTGGCACATGGGCTCAGTAGTTGTGGCACATGGGCTTAGTTGCTCCGCGGCATGTGAGATCTTCCTGGAACGGCTCGAGCCCATGTCACCTGTATTGGCAGGCAGATTCTTAACCGCTGCTCCACCAGGGAAGTTTGTATTGTTGATTGAAGCTAAAGACTTCAATCAGATAATAATTCAGAGCTTGACTTGTGTTTTGGAATATCCCACTTATTGGAGGTGGTTGTAGGGATACTTATGATCAGGGTCATAATTTTTCTCATTAAAGTACCTGTCTAAAATAGTTGAGTTATTTAGTTTCTTAAAAAATTCTGGTCTTGTGCAATAATAACGGCCTTGGTGTTTTAAGGGAATCTTTTTTTTTTTTTTTTGCAGTACGCGGGCCTCTTACTGTTGTGGCCTCTCCCGTTGCGGAGCACAGGCTCCGGACGCGCAGGCTCAGCAGCCATGGCTCACGGGCCCAGCCGCTCCGCGGCAAATGGGATCTTCCCAGACCGGGGCATGAACCCATGTCCCCTGTATTGGCAGGTGGACTCTCAACCAGTGCGCCACCAGGGAAGCCCTTAAGGGAATCTTTTACCATTAGGATTCCTAGGCTATAAAAGGATCTCCCTGGGCCTCAATTAAATATCAAGAAAACTTTTTTGTTTTGCCTTATTTGGAATTATTTTTTGATTAATCCTAACAGTCTGTTGTCTTTGAGCCAGTACCACATTTTATTCAATGACAATATAGGCGTGTGTCCACATTCTCAAAATTGTTCAGGACATCTTCTCCCTTTATAGTGGTACATCCATCAATGTTTATCAGAGATTTATGGAGTACCCATTTTATATAAGGCACTGTCCCAGGTGCTGGGGATATAGGAGTAGAAAAGATGGATAGGGTCCCTGGCCTCATGGGGCTTGGAGAAGGCTGTTTGGTGAGCTGATTTTTAGCTGGGTTTCATGTTGTCACAGCAAAGCCTTTGCTAGTTGAAGCATAAGTCTGTTTAAGGGGCCTGGGAAGAAAGCAGGATGGTGGGTTTTACTTAACATAAAAGAAATACATGTTAACTTTAGAAAAGCTAAAAATTGCAGATAAACAGGAATTCCCTGGCTGTCCAATCGTTAGGACTCCACGCTTTCACCGCCAAGAGCACAGTTTCGGTCCCTTGTCGGGGAACTAAGATCCCGCAAGGCGAGCAGTGCGTCCAAAAAAAAAAATTGCAGATAAACAAGATATGACTTGTAATATTACCTGAAGATAATTACTATTAACATTTTGGGGCATGTACTCCCACGCTTTTTGGTTTGCACATATGTATTTTTTTCCTTTGAGGTGTAATTTACTTACAGTAAAATGCACAGATGTTAAGTGTAGTTGATGAATTTTGATAAATGTGTACACCCATGTAACTTCACCCAAATCAAAATGTAGAACATTGCCATCACCCTAGGAAATTCCTTCATGCTCTTTTCCAGTAAATTCACTTCTCCCAAAAGTAACTGCTGTTCTGATTTCTGTTACCACAGATTAAATGTACTTATTCTCTAATGTCATATAAATAGAATCATTCAGTATATACACTTCTGCGTTTGGCTTCTTTTGCATATATTTTTTTATTTTAACTTTTTAATGAATAATACATTTACATGGTTCAAAAATTTTAAAGTACAAAGGATATGCAGTGAAGAGTTTCCTGCCTACTGTATCCCACCAAGCACCCTGATCTCCTCTCTGAAGGCAACAGATTTTAGCAGTTTCTTTGTATTATATCCTTTCAGAGATTTTATGTATGTACAAGCATATAAATATGTATATATATTAAATTTTTTATCCCCATCTTTTGCACGAATAATGGAATTGATTAAATATTTCATCAGGAGTTGCAAAATGGTGATATTCTAATTCCATCATTACCTCTACATCTATCAGTTGGAATTCTTCTGAAAGAACTTTCCTTTATTGGCTGTGGTTGGATATGTACCTGAATTTATAATTATTTCCTTGGGTTTGGCTCCTAGAAATTGAATTGCTTGGGCAAAGTTTTTCTATTCTTGAAGGCTTTTTATAAGTATTGCCAAATTGCTCTTAGAGATGTGATACCAGTTTGCACCTTCACTGTTGTTATATGAGTGGAATACTGTCTGCAATTTGTAGAAATAATAAGGTAAAACCGGAGAGATGGGCAATGTAGTAAATGTCTTCATCAATCAGAACTGTCATCACTTGGCCTTTTCTGAGACATTTCTTAGACATGCTAATAAACTGGTATTGGGATAAATATAGTGTGACTTTGGAAATACTTGTGGTTCTAGTTTGTGTTCATTAAACATGTATCTATTTTGAAATTAGAAGGACGGTTAAATCATGTTAGTTAAAAAAAACCCTCAACAACTTCATTTTTGTAATATTTGACTATGTATATTAACCATGTTTCAAAATATAATAGCCCTCTTAACTTAAACAGTTATAAAAAATCTAATGTGTTTTCCTTTGCAGTGACATTTCTGGGGGCAAACCCCTGGAAGTAGAGATGGCGGGGATAGAATACATGAATGATGATCCTGGCATGGTGGATGTTCTTTACGCCAAAGTCCATATGAAAGATGGCTCCAACAGGTATGTTTCTGGAATACTTCTTTGTTTTAATTGTGAGGTGCCTAGAAGAATCCCTGGAAGTTCAGGTAGTTTTGATTCATTTTCTTTGAGGTCTTATTATTGTAAGGAGTGTGTAAATTCTTTCTTTTTCTGAAATAGTAAGTTAATATCTTGCAAGAGGAATTTGTTGTAGGAAAAAGTATCAGACTTTTAGTTTGATAATTATTGAATTACTTGGATGGTAGATATTGATAGTAGCAATCTAGTTTTTATGGAACTCAGTGCCTCCTTCATGTTTTCCAGGATAATAGGAGGCAGGAAGGATGGCATATTAGGATGGCAGTTTCAAAAGTGACATAATGCAGATCTAGTGAATACCAGGGCAGAATAGGGATCATAACTGTACAAACTTCATAGGATTATTAGAATTAAATTAATATACATAAAATGCTTAGATCAGTGCTTGGCACATACTGACATCATCAAAACATACATTAAAAATGTTTGCTATTTTTAATTTTTGTTATTACCACACCTCGATCCCTACTTGGAATTCTCAGTCTGCAACCCAGGCTATTTTTGAGGCTCGCCTAGGCATCCAGAGCCCTTTGCAATATTAGTACCATTTATTAGTCTGTGCAAGGCCTTTGGTGAGCAGAGGAGCGCAACTTGAATTGGAAGTTTGTTTTTGTGTGGTCTTTTCATTAGGGCAGGGTAGAACAGAACTCACACTGAACAAAAAACCCTCTAGGGAAAATCTGTGTCTCTGGGCCGGCCCCCAAATTGATTTGCTTTCCTAGAGGATCTCTTGGAAGGTTTCTCTTATCTCAATTTGAATTGATGATCTCAGTTATCTTCTATCAATTCCAGTGGAAGTGAATTTTGAGTGTAAGGGAGGAAAAAAAAGATATAGAATCAGTTTTTGTGTGTGTGATGTATGTCAATTATATCTCAATAAAACTGGAGAAAAAAAGTGTCTTAATATCATTACTGGAAATTCCCTGGTGGTCCAGTGGTTAGGACTCTGCACTTTCACTGCCATGGGCCCAGGTTCAATCCCTGGTCGAGGAACTAAGATCCTGCAAGCCATTTGGTGCAGCCTAAAAAACAAACAAACAAAAAACCAAGTTTTGTAAAGTCCCCTCCCCAAATCGCAGTGTCTAAGGGACTTATACACCTCTTGTTTAATTCAATATTAAAACTATTTGAATGCCTCCTTTGTGCAAGGTATTTTGAAAGACCATGTAAATTGATACAGAAATGAGTAAGACATGGCCCAATTTTTAAGGCACATTCAGTCATTTGTGTTTCTTTATGTGAAGAGACACTGCTCAATGCAGAGGCATGGAGGAGAGGCCATGTTATAATAATAAATTTATAATAAAAACACAGTCAACTTTCTTCGTATGATTTCATATATTTTAGATGAAAGATTCCCTTAAAATGCTTGACTGTGAAGTGCCTGACCTTTAAAAAATGGAACCACTTAGATCAAATTTTTCCTCTGGAAACAGAGCTGGGACAGTGTAGCTACACTTATTGATAGATCCTTGGATTTTGTAAAACCTGACTGTGTAGGGAATTTGCATTCAAATTACTTAGTAGTCAGCTGTTGCTAAGACTTAAGCATTGAACACAGTGGCTATTCTGTTCTGTTTCTTACTGTCACAGGCCTCCACTCTTGCCACTTTAGAAGAATAGCTTCCTCACATTATACTGAGAACATGAAGCCAAGTCAACTTCCTTCCTTTTTCCCTCACAGTCTACCTGTTTTCATCACACCCACCCCACTCAATTTCACTCTCTTTCTGAAGAATTGCATACATTAACTCTGATGAGGCTAATCCCTTCACTTATTCTGGGACCCCATTCCTTCTTATCTCCTCAAAGACCTGACACCATCAATTATTCCACCCTGCAGGGCATTTCCAGTCCCCTTTTCCCTCAGGCATTTTTCAAATGCCCAGGATGTGAGATGCAGTAGACCCTAGGGCTTCTTTCTTATGGAGGAGGCAGATGTTGGTAACTAGAATACACTAGGTTGAGGACTGTGATTGAGATTCTAGTGGTACATAAATGAGCAGCAAAACTCTGCCCATGTGTGGGCAAATTTTGTAAAGGAAGGCTTCAGAAAGCAGGTTTCTTTACTGAATAAGGAGTTTGCAGGCTGAGGGAGTAGCATGCTAGGAAAAGGGAATAAATACTAAGTACAGATCTAGAGGCAGTGTTATATGCCATGTAAAAGGAATGTTGATTTTCATTGGTCATTTGTTTATTCAACAAAACTTTATTAAATGCCCACTGTGTGCCAGACACTGTGCTAGCTGTGAATATAGAATGGTCAGTAAAGGTGGTCCAGTGGTTAAGACTCTGCGCTTCTACTGCAGGGGGCTCGGGTTCGATCCCTGGTTGGGGAACTAAGATTCCACATGCCTCTCCGCAGGGCCAAAGGAAAAAAAAGCAAGAATGGTCAGTAAAGCCAGACACAGTTATTGCCCCCATGTAATTTACAGACTAATGGAGAAAACAGATGTTAACAACACGTAAATATATCATTGCAAAGTGTGATAAAGGTGAAGCAGGGGGAAAATGGTGCTCTTTTAAAGACAGAAAATATGGCAGTTTAGACTGTGGGAGGGCAGGGTAAGGAAAGCCTCTTGGAGGAATTGATACTGAATTGAGGTCTGGAGGAGTGGGATTTTTCAGGCAAAGGGGTGGTGGGAAATTCTAGGCAAAAAAAAATGCAGAGCAAAAGCCCTGTGGCAGGAAAAAGCCTAGCAAATTCCACATATGGATGAGACATAATGAAGGAGAGGTAGGGTCACATGAGATGTCCATGTGAAGAGATTAGAGGGGCTTGGATTGAGGCAGTAGCAAAGATAAGAGAAAAAAGAATAAATACAAGCAGAATAAATAAAAAGAAATCCGTATCAAGATAAATCAGGATGGAAGTGCAGAACACTGAAGATAAAGAATTTAAAAGAAGTCACCTACAAAGGATTGACAGTTATCTAGACAATGGACTTCTCAATATCAACAACAGAAGCCAAAAGACAGCGGACTGTTTTCTAGAGAAAATAACTGTCAAGCTGGAATTGTTTACCCAGAAAAAAATCTTTAAAGAACAAAAGTGAAATAACTTTTTCGTGTCCAAATGCTGTCTTTCCTTCTTGTTATCCTTCTTTTTCTCAAATAGACTCTAAGATTCTTGGAGGCAGGGGTTTTGTCTTATTTACTATATAGAGTATTATGTGATAAAAACAGATTACAGAACAATTTGTAAATATACATTTACTTTTTTCCCCTCAAAAGTGGGAAGAGAGAGCAAGAGAGAAATAAACCAGTTAGTCTGAATATATAATCATCTTATCAGTGGTTATTTTTGGATAATAAGTAATTTTTTTTCTTTTAGCTTATCTGTAAGATTTTTTAAAAATAAAAACAATGTTCGTAAAGCAGGCACGTGTTACAGTTTTTCAGATACACTTGATATACTTTGTCACATGAAGGTCAGTAGTAATCAGTATGTACATGTAAGTGGTAGAATTATGGTTTGACCTAGCTGTGTTTGACTGTAAAGCGTATGCTCATAGTGGGGCAAAAAGAGGAGATTAAGGGGCTTCCCTGGTGGTGCAGTGGTTGAGAGTCCGCCTGCCGATGCAGGGGACATGGGTTCGTGCCCCGGTCTGGGAAGATCCCACATGCCACAGAGCGGCTGGGCCTGTGAGCCATGGCCGCTGAGCCTGCGTGTCCGGAGCTTGTGCTCCACAACGGGAGAGGCCACAACAGTGAGAGGCCCAAGTACAGCAAAAAAAAAAAAAAGAAAAAAAAAAAAGAGGAGATTAAGAATAATTGGAGACAGACCACTCTTTTGAGAAGTTTGGTGAAAGGAAGATGAGAGAGATGTAGTTAGAGTCTACAACTGTGCAGCTCAACATCACTGCACCATCTTCCAGTTAGCCTTCTTCCTTTCATAGCTGAGCTGCTTCTTTATATATTGTTTTCTCTCATAAAATTAAAGCCTTCCAGATGGGTAAAGTGAAAATTAAATGGCTCCCTTTCCCCCTGCTCTGACTCTCCCTGTGTTCCTCCCCAATAGATTGTAAGCAGAGCAAATACTGCTGAGAGTCACTGTCCGTGCATATTGTTTTATACAAACTGGATCACATTATTCATATTGTTCTATAGTTTGTTCTTTTCATAAAACATAACCTAGACATTACTTTTATGTCAGTGTCTATAGATCCTATGATCTACTCCTACATCAGCCTTTCTAAGCCATAGCTTATATACAGTAGGACTTCCCCTTGCTTAAAAATCTCCCATCATTTCACATCATCCTTTGAATTAGTTCGTATTCCTCAGTCTAGCAGTCAGTATCTTCCAGGATGAAACCAACAATATTTCAACTTGATCTTCCACTTATCTTGGACTTGCCCCAAGCCCTAGCCCGCTTCACTGCTTGATGATCCTTTGTGTCTTTGTTAATGTTGTTTCTTGTGACTAAAATTTCTTTCATGTTACTCCTCATCTCTTTTTGTCCAAGTGCTGTCATTCCTTCTTGCTATCTTTCCTTCTTTTTTCTCAAGTAGACTTTAAGATTCTTGGGGGCAGGGAGTGTCTTATTCAGCGTTGTGTATCCAGTGGCTTTTATAATTCATGACTCATAGTTGATGTTCAGTGAATGTTTGTTTACTTAAGTCATTTATTTTTTCAGCTGATTTACAAAGATGAATTGAGTACAGTTAGCTTCCTGTCCTAAGCCCATCCTCTTGGTAACCTATTCTGGTCTCAACCCAGCTGTAACGTCTTCCACATTTAAATTACCAAAGCACCTTGTATTCCTTGTGTCATTACCAAAGTCCTCTTTATAGTTATTTTAATAGATTGTAAGCTTCTTAATGACAAGAGCTATGTTTGCTTAGTTTTAAATTCTTTTAGTGACTAGCATGGTGCCTGTATACAGTAAGAACTCAAGAAATGTTAATTGGATAGAGCTGAATTAAATTTGGGGGAAAAAA